TTTTAAGTCTCAAAAGCTGTTTTTGACTTTTTAAAAGCCATGCCATACAGGCCAAAGCACAGGAAATTGTTAAATGAAAGATGCAAAGTCTAGGGTAAAAATTTCATTACTCGAAGGATCAATAATGACTAGCCAAAACACTGCTCAATAATGCCAATGGAGAGTTATTCAAGAACTACACAGTCTACCCATGATCAATGATACAATTTATCGGAATGACATAGAAACCATTCTGTTTAACAGGGATACGGAAATGTGAAATGTATCAAAGAACACAAACGAATGAAACACACAGATAACATTGATTAACGAACTAGGTCTTACAATCATTGTTTACAGTTCTGAAACAACTATTAGTAGATTTCAGATCAACCTAGTCTGTACAAAACTAACAATTCCGATAGAATGCAACAAGATTCATATACCTAATTCCGGTTCTCATTTTCTTTGAGTTGAAGTGGCTGTCACCTTGCCTTTTTAGCACCCGATGGCATTCTGTTCAGACAATCTTAAAAAGTTCACTATAAATTAGATTTTGTCCCCTGGCTTAGTGAACAGCACTCCGTTTCACGGCTAGTAACTTGTGATGTTATGTGATTCACGAATAATTCTAAGGCTTCCTTCATCCACCAATACTGGCAAACTTTCCTAGCTTCTTGAACACTCACCTGTTGGAAATAAGTTTATTATCAGCAATTCTGCGGATTTTCACAAGTTTTAGATACGTATAACGAAAAATTTGTGGATTCGTTACCCATTTTCTTTGACGGACGTCCTTCTCTGGCCAAAAATCTAGTTCCTCTTTGACAAGTAACGAGAACATGTATCCTTCATAACACATGTCATTGTTTTTGCCCTTGAAATTCCATTTACCTAATTCACACTGCACAAAAATAAAAAATAAATAAATAAAAAATCAGATGTCAGTTACATCAACATATATTCCACCTCAAATGTGTCAACATGAGCAAGTGCAGAAAACCATATGTCTCTTGAGTGGAAGAAACTAAAACTTGAAATGAGATTTTCAAGCTTTTTATTGTATAAACTTCGGCAGGAAAGAAATGAAAATCCATTATGGTAAGAACTAACTTCGACTTCACCTATTACCCCAGCCTCCTCCAATGTTTCGCGCAAAACCGCTTCTATAATGGATTCATCTTTCTCCCAACCTCCCTGTAATCACAAGATTCCTCAGATATCTGCCCTTAAAACATAATTCATAATACAGTCGAACTCAACTGCAAATCGTCATTCGTCAATACCTTTGGGAACAACATCCCTTTCCCTTTTCTTTGGGAAGTAATAACAAGAACTTCAATTGCATCCTCATCCACTACAGATGTCCCATGTGTACCTTTATATCTGTATGGAATACATCTGCAGAATCATAACTAGAAATCATCAAAAGCATTTCAAAGTGAGTGATTCAGACTAATTTCTAAGGATCTCTTTTGAAGATTATGTGTTAGTGGTGTTATTGCTCTTAAAAGAGGCATGGCAATGTACTGAAAGAGCAGTTAATCTGTCTTTTTAAACGAAAATCTACCATATTATGTTAAAAAAGAAGGGAGAGTACTACTAATCAATTTTATAATCCACCCCTTTCGAATCCAATGAAGAACTCGAAATCGAACCAATGCCTTGCTCAAAACCTTCATTTCAACTTAAAAATTACAAATCTTC